TGGGATTTTTTTGGAAAGTTAGTAAAGTCTGGGTGTATTTTGTACAGAAACCCACTTAAAAGCTGAAGCTGAATTAATCTGTCATATTTGCTACATAATGGTGATATTTTCATTATATTTAAACTGTATGAGTTCAGCAGAATTATTAAATTGAATTTTCTAAAGTTTAAGGTGATTAATTACATTTTTAAAACCTCCAGGTTTATAGGATCTGATGCTGAATTATGAGGGGAAGTAATGACATGTTTACTGTCTTTTCCAGACATTGGGTAGATCATATAGATAGAGCATCAGGGAACTGAAAATGTCCTGCAAATAACAGCAACACCTGCTTGTATTTCATTTAATAACTTCTGTGTGGGGTCATTTATGTCATAGAAAATGGCAGCTCATGAACAAGTTTTTGAGGGGAGTTGCTAAAGCTGCAGTATTTTGTATTATGCTGTACAGATTCTATATTGTAAATCAGAGTAGCAGAGCCATACATATCTCCATGACCACAGCTCCAAAAATCCTGCAGTTAGTAATGACTGAAATGAACATGATTTCTGTGGGAAACAGCTTTTAGAAACCTTGGCAAATCAGAGGTGTGCTCAATGAAGGACCACTCAGATGCTGCACAGTGCTGAAGCACCTTCCCTGATTGTTGTCAGCTGCCCCATCATTATTCCTGTGGTATTAAAATTGAATCCTGCAAGCCAGGGCATGCTGAGATCAATATAACTGCTCAGTAACAGAGTTATAAACTCCAAACAGATGTCCACATAGGGCTCTTTACCAATTCACTTCAACCTGTTCAGTAGCATGGTGCATTGGTCAGTGATTCAGCTGAGTGGGTTGCATACCGAAGCCCATGGTGAGCTTCCTTCCCCCTTCCCAGCCCTCCCATGGGAGGAGGGCTGCTTGCACTGCACACCACTGCACTGCATGCACTGGCAGGCAGGTAAACTTCCAGTGAGATGGATAAGCAGAAGAAAACCTTGCTTTTCTTGACAGTGGTCAGTTGATGTCAGTGTAGCTCTGTGAACAGCTTCTTGTGGAATTAAATGAGTGCCAGTGCAAGGGAGACAGGAGGGAGGGACCTCGTGTTGTAGCAGCAGTCAGTGATCAGGTTGGCTTTATGATTTTGTGAAGTCATATTTGTAAGTTACATGCACTTCTGTAATGTTCTGGAAAGCTGTGGTTGTGAAAAGGCATTGCTTCCCTGCAGCTGAATGCCACCTCTCTCTCACTCGGTCAGCTGCTTGATGTAAAGGCAGATGCAAGTGTGACTGGCTGTGAGCTTCTGGGATCTTCCTAGAAATGTCTAGGATTGATGGAGAGAAGTCTTGGGGATAAATTGCACTTCAGATGACTCTGTATGTTTACATCAGTATGAGGTGAAATGTGACTTTTGGGTGACCATGAAGTCTAGGCTCAGAACTGGGCAGCTGCGATTAGGCAGGTGAGCCACGCTGAAGGAGACTGAAGACCTCAGTTAAATTTTCTGGAAAATAAAGGAATCCACAGAGTAAAGAGGCAAATGCCAGAATGGCTAAGGTAATAGGTAGTGAACTAGTATAACTTGCATTAAAAAAAAGGGGGGGGGGAAGTATCTTGGGGTCATCAGACTGGTGTCGAAGTACTGAGTTTGTGGAGTGGAAGGTCACCATCACCTTGAGGGGAGGGGGAAGATCTTCGTGTTTAACTTGTAAAGTTTAAAGGCCCTGAGCAGTGTTAACCCGAGGACTTTGTTTTTACTACCTACTGTTGGGAGTGACACTAGAGATGACTAAAACTGGAAGAAGTTAGCTGAACCAAACCTTTTCTCATCATCTATTTAGTGCTGTCGTTAGTGTTCTTGGCAGCACTTCAGATACTCCCTTTCAGTGGTTTTCATGCTTGGTTGCACTTCCTGTCATATATTAGCATAATGATGTCATTCTCATGCACGGCTGTGGGGGAGCTTTGCCCCAACCTCTGCAAGAAAGGCTTTCTCACTCTCCTACAAGAGGACTTTGGTTCTGCTCTGACATCTGAATCTCTGATTGAGGGTCCCTGTTTCTGAACCTCTCCTGTATGGAAGGGGGGAGCAGAGTAGGAGAAAGGCAGCTGGAGAAGCACCTTCTTGCCATCTCCTGTAGGAAGCTACCAATAGGACTGTCTTCCCCTACTATGGGTGAGCAGCTGGAGCCTGTATCACTCTGTAGAGGCCTCCATAGCCTTGTACAGAGCTGTGGAAGGGAAGAGGATAGGGAAGCTCCTTATCCTGAAAGCAAGCAAAGCAACAAAAAATGGGCATGGGTGTTTCAGACATGCTCCTGCTTTTGTGGGTAAGCAGCACTGCTGATGGGAGGAAAGCACTGAAAAAGTCCCATGGCTTTTTTAATGGACCCAGGAGGGCAGCAGGGTTTGTTTCCTGGTTCTGCTGAGTGTCCCAAGAAGGCAGCAAAGATGTTGCTGCAAGGAAAGGGAGGAGCTTGGCTGCCAGGAGAGACCAGGCAGCCCTGATACCTCAGGGGAGCAGCCTGGGCCTGCTGCTCTTCCTGTCTCCTCAAGTTGGTTGGTTCGCTCAAGGGCAGGCTCTGCTGTGCAAGCGCAATTACGCAGAAAGCTTTAAAGTGATAGGCATCAGCATGTTAAATGAACTTGGGAAAACTTCTGGTAGACTTGGTCCCCTTAAATCTGCCTGAAAGGGGCTCCTCCACCATGAGTCATTTGCAGCTGTAGAGGAGCCCTGGGCAGAGCGTACCTCTGCTGAATGGAGCTGTCAGAGTGCCCATAGCCAGGGCAGGGAGAAAAATACCCTGATTCATTTCCTAACGAGGTATGCATGGGAGAATTCCCCACGGGGTGGCCGGTGGGGTTTGCAGCTCTGTGTTTTTCAGTCGCTCCGCTCCACACAAGCAAGATTATGCAGCTTCGAGCTCCCACCCGAAGGACTGAAACACCCCAAGCCCGTCCCCAGGAAGCACACAATAGTGTTAATATGCCTGTTGCTACAGAGGAAGTGGCTTCTGTTATAAACAATAAGCAGTGTGCCAAAGTCCAGTTTGGGTGGTTGCCAGAAGAAATTCTACATGAAATTATTTAACATTTTTGGGTTTTGTCTTGATGCTTTCTGGGTATGTTTCTGTTGCTTCCTACTATTTAAAACTTGCATGTGCCAGTCTTTCTCCCCTTCCTCTCCCAATTAATACAGGCTCTTACTTAGAAAACATGGAATTAACAGCGAATCCAGTCTTCATTTAATAATTGATGAACTATGCTCTCAGTAGGGTAGCAAGCTGCAGCTACAGTGTTGCTCAGGGCTTTGTTGTGCTCTCTCCCATCCCCTTCACTGCAGTCATTTTTTGATGTGACTTTGACGTTGGAAATACAACATGTTAGTGCAGAAAAGACAGGATGTGAAAGTCAGACTTAAGATACTTGAGGCGAGAAGCGCCCTCTTGTGCTGTTTCTTCGGGAGCATCACAAGGCCAGCAGCTTCTCAGGAGCAGAGTCTGAGTGGAGCTTCTGCCTCGGGTTTAGTTTGTGGGGAGTCTGGTGTGTGCTTGGGCACCTACACCATGATCTAGTCCAGTTTTGATGTGCAGGAGTAACTTGATGGGACCACAAACTTCACCGCAGCTGTACAGTGTGACTGTTCAAAGTGAATCTTTGAACAGAAGAAAGTGACATCTTCCAAAAGACAAAAATAAGATCTTCAGGTTCACTCAGTAGTAGCAATGTTTGCTATGTATTAAATGTATCTGATGGGCCAGATTTTAAGCTAAATTTCAAACTTCTCTGACTGTTCACAATATTATGCAATTTTAGGGATTTTTTTGGTTGGTTGGTTGTTAATACTGTGCTGTGTATTTACAATCATTCACCTCTTCGTGCTGCATAATATCAAGAAAATGTGCTGCACCTCCCTGGAAGAGAAACTCAAGTTTTAGTTTTGTTAAGTCTAGTTAATAAATACTTTCTGAGATTGATCACTGCAAATTCTGAAAATACCTCATTTGTCCAGATTCCGGACCATAAGTAAAATTACAAACTTCAGAATAAGAGGCAAATGAATTTACAAAGCTAACAGAATAGCTTGCTGCCTAAATAAATCAGCTTCACTGTTTTTTATATGTGGGGCACAAAGTTGTTCAAAGGACAGAAATACCATGTTATTTTCTGGCCTCCTCCAGAGTCCCAAGCTTACTGATACCTCTAAGATGCAAACAGAACTAAGCATAATGTGCAGTGAGCTCTTCCCCTTGTTGGTATTTTTTGGTGTTCTGGGCTCTTCAGGGATTAAAGGTGTTGTTTATTTTATGCTTATTGACCTAGACCAGTTTTAGACTAGGCTACCTGCCCATTCTGTGATTGCATTTCTAGCAAAACGGCAGTTTCTGTCAATGTACCTCTCCATGTGAAAGCTCCTGAGGATTATGATGATTTCATAGAGCAGTAACTAGAATTTAAAAGAACAGTTGTGCTGGGCCTGGTTGAGGTCCATGTAGCTGATATTGAGCCTGTGTCTCCAACAGACACTGTAAGTGGATGCCTTGGTAAAAGCCTAAGAACAAAGCGTATATAAATGAGTCTTGTTTTATTGTTCTCCCAGCCTCCAACCATTTTCACATCCTGAGCTGAAAATGGGGTTTGTGTGTTTAGCAAACCTTGTCAGATTTATTTTTCTGTCCTGTCTTACACTAAGCTAATACTGAACTTAGCGTTCACAACATTCTTACGATCTCTGTTGGGCACTGAGCTGAAATTATATGGGACTTGTATCATCATCCTAGTATCTCACATCTGAGTGCTAATGGTCATCTCTGACCACATGTATGAGCATGTATATATGAAGTTAGAATTGCTTTTCTGCCTGTGCATGATTTTACATTTATCTATATGGAATTCTGTCTGCCATTTTACTGCCCACTGACAGATTCTTTCTGCAGTCTGTTGCCCCTTGTTCTCACCCTCCTCAGTTATTCATATTATCAGTAAACTGTCGTATTCTTGCTCACCCCCTTTTCTAGGTACACTGAACCAGACTGCTCCATATCAGATTTCAAAGAGAACTACACTGATGAACTGGGTCTGCTGTGAGCACTGGCCATGTTGTCTCCTGTTTCTCATCTTTTAGCAATTACTTACCCTGGAGGGACCTTCCTTCTTAAGCCATGGCTGCTTGGTTTCTTTAGAATTTAGTCTTGGTGAGGAAGATGATTGAAAGCTTTCTGGAAACTTAGTATATACTTACCAACCAACCCATCAGCATCCCTGTGGCTGCTAAGCTCTTTCAAGGAGTCTGATAGTGCTCAACGCAGATTTCTATTTACAAAAAACAAACATCTGGGCTCTTCCAAAGTGTATCATATTTGTCTTTTTTATATTCCTTATAGACTCTACTGCTTGCTCAGTAGTAGGAGTAGTAGTTGTTTTGTCCAGAATTGCAGCTCTGCTGATAATGGTGTGACTTCGGCAATGTGACAACATTTTTTTAATACTTCTCTACATTCTCTGCAGAATGTCACAAGAATGCCACAGCGTGATGAGTCTGTAAAGGGCAAATAATGTCAGTGAAGTATTTCCAAACAAACAAAATGCTGTGGAAATGCAGAGAATTAAGGTTGCTATGTAATTTTAATAGGAGTTATCACTTGGCAACACTGAGTACCACAAAATGGATCAAATGAGGGGTTTGTACATACTTCAGAGTTACTAAGAGTTATGTGCCTGTGCCTCTACCTGACAGCATACTTGAATTTGACCCTGTAAAGACCAGAAGTTTCTTTTAGCTCACAGGTTGTATTTTTGCAGGGTCTGGGCTGAAAACTTCCGCACTTCAGCAAGAGCAGTTTCAGGGGATTGGTTGTATAGCAGAGCAGATCCAACCCTTGGAAGTTTCCAGTCTGCTTAGGAGCCCGTCTGTCATGAGTGGTTGGCTGCTTTGCTCTGTATGAGGGACTGTCTCATGACTTTATCTGATGCCAGGTGAAAAGTAACCCAGATGGGCATTTGGGAATGTGAAGACTACTAAAGGGGGATGAGGAAAGTGCCTTTCCCAGTGAAATCCTTGTGCTTCCTTCTTCCTTTCATGAACAGGATAGGGAAAGGTTCCAGGCACAGATGATGCAAGTAAGTTAGTTCTGAATAGCTGGGTCCTCAGCAAAGTACTGGGTGAAGCTCTTCAAAAGGTGCACAACTTCTCTTCTGTGGTTTACATAGCTGGAATAGCTAATGTAAATGAATTCAGAGACAGATCTCCTCAGCAAAATCAGCTATTCCTGAGTGCAGAATGTTGTCGTCAGTAATTTGAGCGAAGTGTGTGGTGTTGGTTGTTCTTTCTTTAAACCAAGCTACTTTAATATATCAGCAAAAGGCTCCTTGTGGCTGCACAGCTTAACCTAAGTGCTTGAAAACCTGACAGTGTGCCAGGACTGATGCAGCTGCTGGTGAAAGATCATTTGCAGATATCCTGGTAAATTATCCAACAAAAGAAAGCAAAAGGGGGGAGAGGGGGGGAGGGAGGAGGGGGAAATAAACAAATCCAGCAACTTGGGAGTGAATTATCCTTAGTTTTATGAAGCATCTGAATTACTGCTCAATGAATAATTCAGTAACACTTTCCAGAAGACTGGCAGTTACATTGTGATGTTTTGATAAAGAAATGCACATATTAGCATAGGCCTGTTAGGTCTGTGTGCACTGAGCATGTGCAAGAACTGGTATTACTGAGGTACAAGGGAAACACGGACTTTGTAAAAGGTTGAATCCAAGTTGATTTTTCACATCCTGTTTATCTGCTGTTTCACAGTAAGTGTGTGTATATGCTTTTCCCTAAAAGACACAATAGTAAGCATGACATAATTAAAAAGTAACATTATCTTTCATTTACAAGAAGGAGGGAGGGGCAGGTAAGAGTGTATACATAGATACTGCCTGCAGAGCTGCTGGCTTGTGGTTACTAGCCTGTACATCCTTCCTTAGCGTTGGCAGCAGTTAACTCCTGTCCTTTAAAAAAATACGTTTTTTAGATCCATATAAAATACTTTCTTAGCCATGTCTGAGGGCATCTCTGAGCCCTGTCGCCACAGTCTGCTCTTACGTGCAAGCTGATCTTTCCAGATAAGCATGCATAGAGTTCAAATGTATCTGTCAATAAGCAGTGGAAAGGATGTCATAATGCAAAGTCTGATACTGTGATAAAAATATGCAAGTCCTTGAAAACATGTATGTGGGAAGGAACTGCTTTATTCTTAACGTAGCTGCAGATCTGGCAGCAATAGTTCATGAAGAGGTGTGGGAATTAGCAAAATAGACCCCCTGCTGCAAGAATCGCTGAGAGGCTCTACGCTACTGATGCAAGAGTGCTCATAATCCCTTTGGGTAAAGGAAGGTAAATTATTTTTCTTTGCTGATGAAGCACGTTGTGAGGTAAAGCCACATTTGAGAAGAAGAAGATGAGCATTTACTGGAAATAAAATCTCTATGATCAAATGAAGTATGGTGTCACGTGAGGTTTGTGATTTTATTTGTTATAATCTCTTTGATTCATCACAATAAATACAACTAGGAGAAGAAGATACGAACTGGGAGGTGGGCAGAGGAAGAGATGGCTGAAGATGAAACGCATATTTTTAATTGCTTGATTGCTAATTCTCTGAACTGGATCTGCTTATAATTAAGTTAAACTGTTTTCAATGGAATCTGTAGTGTTTGCTGCAATGCAGAGTATGTGTGGTATTATGCTGAGCCAAAGGAAAAGCAGATAGAAATGCTCCCTTGTTCTGTGAATGCCACAGTTCCTATAAAGACTCCTATGACTATTAATAGGCTCTTTTCCCAAAATCTACTTTCTTAAAGTATGGGTTATATGAAATTTAGGAAATTATCTGTAATGGTGCCCTCTGGTGACTCTAAAAATTTTTACACTAGAATGAAGTAAAACCCAAGATGGAATTTGGCTTGCTCCTGTGGAAGTACCCTGGCAAATTGGACTATGCATTAAAGACTAATAAATTAGAGCTCCTAGAGCTTAACTAGGCAGTCTACACAAGCCATGTGCATACAGAACTCCAGGACTAACTACAAGCATTGTGGGAGCAGAGCTCTAATGAGTAAGGTGGTCTCTCACTCTACCATGCAAGTAATCTCATGTACATTCAGGGCAGAGAAAAAGAAACCTGGCTTTTAACACTGCAAACTAATCATTTATTTTCTAGTGCTTACAGAAAATAAAAGGTAAAACAAAGCGTCTTCCTGAGTTCGTTTTTATGCAGTGGATGTTAATCGATTATATAAAATGTTAGAAGTAACCCAGCTGTGCAAAAGAATGTCTTTGGTATATTCTACAGTTAATGTGGCTGCCACAAAGTCTTTGGGAAGCTGATCTCTGTGCACTGTTTCCTCTCCTGGGTATTGCTTTTTAAGTGCACAATCTGTCTGCAGTAACTAATGTCTCTACCTTTACTGTGTGTCATTTCCCACCATACTGACATACATGACCTCCATTGCACTGACTCTAGTGCTCACATGACTCTTACTCTGTTCTGGTTGAAAAGGATACTTTTATTTGCAGGGTTGTGTTATTTTACAGACACATCCATGGTCATACAAACACCACTGCAGACAGAATTTCACAAGTAAATATGTGTGGCTGTGGATGGATGGAATAGGTGTATGCACCCTCTCCAGTGTCACTTCTGGTTCAAGTCATGACCATGAAGGTATGTCCTGATCTCAATATGTGCGCAATACTGGTGAGATAACGAGAGTATGGCACTCCAAGACAATTAGCCCAACAAAATCATCCACAAGCAAGATAATGGATAGGGGGTAAAAGAGAAAGTATAAAACCTGTGTTAATAATTTTGTATGAAGTGTGAGCTATTATTTAATGATTTAATCATTATTTACTGAATTTCCAAATTAGGCACATACTCCAAGTAACTGCATCCAGCTAAGTAATTCCTTAGCTTTTTAGCACTTTTCCCCCATGCTGTGCTTGGGAGAGGATGCATCTCCTCCCATTCGTGTTCTTTGCAAAACAGCCCCTTAGGCACAGTGTAGATCAACTGACTTTTATGCATATGTTATCTAAGAAAAACTAAAGGAGCAGACAAAATATTTGTCTTATCAAGATGACTACTTTGATCATAAATGGTATGATCAGGAGGTACAGGTATGATTTTATTATCACTTCCCAAATAATACACCCTGTAGAACCTTTTCTACTAACTTTCTTATTATTCAGTAATTTCTCTTTCAACTGCAGTATGCATTTTAGGAAAATACGTAATCTTGATTTTAGAGGCCATTTAGTATGTGGAGAAGGGTTTGTGCTATTATTTTGAGGTCTAATAATAACATCAGGGAAGAACTTTTTTTCTCTGCTAGCATTTGCAGTATGTATCTTGAGGTCACACAGTGACCCTCCTGGCCTGAACAGTTAGCTGGGTTCTTCTAGGAGAAAAATAAACCCATTGATAAATTCGTGTCTTAGGTGCAGCACTGTATCTCTGAACACTGCAGGAGCACACACAGATGAGTACTTCTCTCAGTGACCATGCCCAGTCTTCAGTTTCTAACTAAGCTGATATTTCAAAGAGCCTCTTGCTTCCTTCCTGGTGGAAATTGGAGCTTACTCTCTTTTGGGCTGCTGATTCTGTTTCATATGGGTTCGTGTAGCCCAATCAGCTGTATCCAAGCTTCTGCTGCCATTGCAAATCCATGTTCCACCTGCTGTATCTGGGCAGTGACTTCTGCTGTGCCCAGCCATCTTCCTCTGTGAAAGAACTTAATTACCCTTCTGTTTAGCCTGAATGAAAGGTAGCTGTTGGGCTTGCTGCCTTCTGCTTCATCAGCCTGTGACTGGTCAAAGATGTGTGTGATATCTTGTGCTTCCCATAACTGGTTGTAGAATAATGTCCATTCATATGCAGCTCTACAGGAGGTCAGTTACGCAGTCTACAATCACAACATGAGGAATATGTAGACTAGAGCTGATTTGATTATTATGCCCATTAATAATAGAATCATATAAGGGGTGGGAAGGGACCTTAAGGCTCATCCAGTTCTACCCCCCCTGCCGTTGGCAGGGACACCTTTCACTAGCCCAGGTTGCTTAAAGCCCCTTCAACCTGACCTTGAATACTGCCAGGGATGGGGCATTAAATGGTATTGCTTTCATTTTTCCAGCCTTTTCCATTCATAAGTTTTTCTGGCTTAGTACCTGGAGTAAGATGTAGGAAAGGAACATGAGTTCTGCAAGGATTTGGGGGACAGCTCTGAAGCTCACAAGCATTGGGGTATTTCAGGATTAGGCCTTTGGGAAAACCAGTTGCTGGTATATAGATAGCTCAGTGGCGGAGGCTGCCAGAGGGAGATTTTTGCTTCTGTTATGAGTCAGTTTGTTTGCCCACTTACCTGTTCCAAAAAGTTTTCCTTATTACTTCAGTCCCCTATCTCTACTGTTACTTGCCTGCTCTGCCTGTGGACTGTATTTTTATACTTGCTCATAGCAGAGTTGGCTCACCTTTCACAACAGCTTCCACCACACTAGAGGAGTTTCTTATACCAGTGAAAGAGCTGCTACTACAGATAATCATCCTGGGCAAGAACAGCAGTACCTTACCCTAGAACAGGAAATGGAAGCACCTTTGCTCAAGTTGCTGTGCACATCAGATCAGCACAATGCTTTGTTCTGGTAGATCTAGGAACTTTGAACAAGGACTTGGCTGTGATGGGGGGGAGCGTTAGAAACACAGAGAACCACACAGAGCAACAGAGAAATTTCACACCCCAGGAAGGTGGAGCATTATCCCTGATCGATGGGAGGGAGTCTCCAGGCAGACAGATCCTCTGGTGACTTGTTGGGGCAAATGACTCAGCTCTGCAGTGGAGAATGACCCCAGCAGTGCCTTCCTGGAAGTACCTTCACCTGGAGGTTTCTTGCTCAGGAATTAATTTGCTTATGAAAACTCATCAGTGCACAGAGCCCGGGGCGGCACAGCTGAGGACAGATTGCACTCAGCTGTAAGCAAGGCCTAGTGAAGACCTCTGACAAAGTTTCCAGTGTAAGCACATCAGTAATTGTTAAGGATCTATGAAGTAAATAAGGGTTAGTAGTTATCTCCGTTCTGAGTGTTGCACAAGTTTGTAATCCTATCTCATCAGGAGTGAAGCACATGGGGCATATCAAAGGAGGCAGCAGTTGCTATTCACTGCTGATTTGTTAGAAATAAAAGCTTTCAGAAACAGCACAAGGCACGTCTGCAGCAAACTGACCTGTAATTGTAAGATGGGGGGAATCATTAGGAAAAGGAAGCAGGGTGTAGCAGAACTCACAGCCTAGTAGTTCCCATAAACTTATCTGGAACTTGAGCCGCCATCACGAGTGAGACCCTGAGTATCTGAATCTCCTGAACCATACAGTTTTGTACTGAAAGTCACCCTTCTGGGAAGAGAAAACATTTGTATTTCTGACAGAATAGCTTTATAAGCTGTTTCTTTCCAAAACATCAACCTTATCAGTAGCACTGATGCTAAGGTCTACTGTCTATAGACATTGTTTCTCAGCTTCTTTATTTAAGGATAATCCATGTAGATAGTGGTACCAAATTCTTAACTCCTGTAAAACAAGTTTTGCCTGATTCTGGCAGCACAAACCGGTTTCAAGCCTGGTTTGAAATGGCTGGTGTTCCTAGAAGTCCTCTGATTGCATATGACAGTGGACTTGGGGGAAAAAAAAAGGCCCATCCCAACAGGTACCTGCTGTCAGGAGCCCAGCTGGCAAGCATTATGTAGGAATCAGCACCTGGAAGCTGCCTTTCCATGTGCAACAGGAAATTGTTGAGTGCAGTATCTGCTTTATTTGCTGTCAGCTTTTCAATCTCCTGAACAAGATAAGGCAATATGGTGATACTTGGAGTTTGTGGGTCCCTTTGCTGGCATTGTGAACACTTCTGCACAGGTGAGGGTGGAGAGGCAGAGTCATTAAAACATCCCACTGTGCAGCCAGATGTGTCAGTTTATGTCTTAATTTGTTAGCCGCTCAGCAACTCAAGTGAAGGAGGTCTTTTGGGATTATCTAAGTCCAAGGAAGCCAGGTGGTACATTAACCGTTTCCCCCAGGATGGGGTTAACTGCAGAAATGGAAGTGATACAGGCATGTTCACCTGACAGACCTCTCCAATCTAGCAAACCTTTGAACTCTTTTGCTAGATCCATACAAATGCCTGTGCTGGTACAGCAAAATAGGTCTGATCCCATGTATCCTTAGGATGCTGCTTTATTTCAGGACTGGCTCTCTTGCAATAGTACTTTGAACTTACCAACAGCTTCAGAGTGAGGCACAGACACAATGTGATTAGCTGGTAGTGTGACATTCCTCCTTCCTGGCTCTGACACATTGCCCCATCCAATGATACCTTGGGGAGTATCTGATTTACGCATCTGGTGAGATATCAGCATGCATTGATTAAGTGTATTCCAAAAAAGC